AAAGTAGCTTGTCAGTCAGAGGGTATTTACAGGTTTTTTTTTCAGCTGATGTGGTCGAGATTCATCAGCAGTCAAATTTAAGGTGTCATTGGGGCACCCAGTAGCTCGTCGTGCTAACAAAGGCTAAGCTCTTGCCGCAGTGGCTGTAGGATCAATTCCAACATCCATCCATCATCCCCCTTCTCCCTCCCCTTCATGCTGCTATCTGTCCTATCTAAATCTAAATTTAGGGTGTCATTATCAAAAATACTTGGGCATATATCATGAATGTTAACTAATATATTATCACTCAGATGTCACCCTGAGATTATATGCACAATACAATGTTTTGAAACCAGCTGTACTGTGTGTTTATGCAGGTATGAAGGTCAGAGAGAGCAGCTGGCTCAGCAGTCTTTTAACATGGAGCAGGCGAACTACACGATCCAGACGTTAAAGGACACCAAGACAACAGTAAGAGACACACGACATGATCGGTTGTACTATAAAACATTCTTGTCATGTTGTCTAATATATGTTTGAAATGATTTTTGTGTGTGTGAATGCATTTTGGTTTGATTTTTTTAACAAGTAAACTTAATACTCCCTAGAAGTAGCTGAGAGTCTAGAAGTCTGAAAGCAAGTGTACCTGAAAAGACACAAAACAGATTATATTTCTAGTGCTGATAAAGTCCTTTTTACCAGTGCCTGAATATATATTGTGGAATTTATTTTCTGTTCTCAGGTGGATGCCATGAAGATCGGTGCAAAGGAAATGAAGAAGGCCTACAAGGACGTCAAACTCGATCAGATTGACGTATGTTTCTCACATACCTCTAAACTATGCTTGTTATCGCTCAGCAATTATATATTGAAGGCCAAGGCTAGACCAGACATCAGTGCGAAGAAAGGACCAAGTAATTATCTCTATTTGTATGAACATAATTGCAAGTATGTGAAGACGCACATGGCAGTGAGTGGGCATTCTGTTCAGTCACCACCATTAGATGTTTCCCTTTTTTGCTGTCCTGCCGGTGTAAAGAACTGAAGAAGAATTTACAAGATCCTCAGTCCCTTCTCACTTAAATGTCTTCTGATTTCAACAACCAAAAGTTAGATAATTAGAAGACTCAAGACTTTATTTAAAAAAAAAAACATGACATGTTCTTTAATATATGTTAAAATGTGGTCTAATGAGAGAATTGTCCTCTGCTGTCAAATGATTTCTTGTTCAGAATGCTGTATACCAAATGGTAAATTCCTCTGAGCAAATAAAACACATGAATTTGCATCTTAATGTTGGTTGTGAGTAAAAATTTCGGTCAGCGATATTGGACGTTACAAGTGATCGCACATCTTTAAACTTTCAGGATTTACAGGACCAGCTGGAGGACATGATGGAGGACGCCAACGAGGTACAAGAGGCCCTGAGCCGCAGCTACGGCACTCCAGAGATAGACGAGGACGATCTTGAAGCAGGTATACCTGACATGTTTGTCTTGCATTTACTTTATGGGCAGATTTCTTCGTCTGTAGAGCAACTCTTGAGTTTGAGATGGAGAGGGGCAGGTCTCTCTTTGTGTCCATGTTGGTGGGTCTACAAATCGGCAAACTATCCCTTTAATAATCAGTCAAATTAGACATTTTTTTGTCTTGGTAACGTTATAACTGAAGTGTTGACAGTATTACAGTGACATTGTAACTGTGGTTTCAGAGCTGGACGCACTGGGTGATGAACTGCTGCTGGATGATGACAGCTCCTACCTGGATGAGGCCTCGGCTGCCCCGTCTATCCCCGAAGGAATCCCCAGTGACAGCAAGACAAACAAGGTAACGGTCTTCAGAGCACTGTGAGGCAGAGGTGGAGCGGGTAGAGGGGCTTCTGGGACTACAGCTCCTTATGTTTTCTAAAAAGCCTTGAATCTATTTAGGATTTTAATGTGATACAGATAATGTTATATGCCCATGTTGTCATTTGTTTATGTATGTAATTGAATTAATGTTCTTCTGTTGGCCTAACAAAAACAGGTTTCAAAATTAGTGATGCATACCTGTGTTATGTAACTTAAAAAAGTAACATCTGACAGTTTCTGACACCTTTTAGATGGCAGGTGTGAAAATGAGTCACCCTCAACATTTGCTGTGTCATAGTTTCAGAACAATGAAGGCAGCTGGTGAATAATTAGATACAAAATGGACTCTGCAGGATGATTATTTTTTTCTTTGGCAGCTATCCCAATTTTTCCAAATGTTGCACAGATTTTTTAGGCATTCTGGTATCTCAAATGGCTTAAAAAATAGTTCCTATAGCTGCCATAAATGGGAATGAAAACCTTCCTAGGGGAGCATAACCCTAGGGGGTTTGGGCTGAGTCCCGACTGTTTACAGATTGTGGCTCCGCCCCTGCAGGGGAGAACAGTGGTCACTAACATTTTTAACTGACATTATACTAAAGGCATGGAGAATTATGGTGTTGAAAACTACAGGGAGGTGAAAAAATAATCATGCTGGTGTTTTTGCATGCTGTACAATTACAACACGTCTACATATTTCTTAAACCATACCATCATTTTTTTAGATTTCCTCCACAATTCCAGGCAGCCAGAATTTTTTTTAACTTCACAGAATGAAACTTGAAACTTGTGATTGGTAATCCAACAGTAATGAGCCCTTGTCATCATCTTATTTCCATCCTTTATTTTTTTGTTATACGTATCCTGAAAACACTCATTGCAACATTGGGAAGCTCCAGCATCTTAGATTTAAGATGAACAAATTCACATTATCCTTTCCATGATGTCTGTGGATGCGTACTGGTGTTCCCCTGGCATTTTGCACGTTATTGTCATGCTGTGTTGCAGCTGTGGATTCGTCTCTAATTAGCAGAATTGGAGTACACATACTGAATTCAGGATTTGTCTGTGTTCAGAAAACTTCAGATCAGTTATCAATATTATATTGATATTGTGATATGGGACTAGATATCATCTTAGGTTTTGGATATCGTGATATTGTAAGCTTTGTCTTTTCCTCGTTTTAAAGGCTGTATTGCAGTAAAGTGATATTATTCTCTGAATCAGACTGTTGTAGTTATAGTCTATTATTAGCCTTTACCAATAGTCAAGCCTACAATATCGTCACAATATAAACATTGAGGTATTTGGTCATAAAAATTGTCACAGTTCTATGGATGGATTACTGAATGTGCCTCCTGGGCACAGGCCCAGGGGCCCAAAGTGTCAGGGGCCTTTGTGGCCTTCACCTGCAGTAGGTCACTCAAGTTAACACATAGCGACCAGGAGGAGACTCAAAATGGCCACAAAAAGATGCAAAGGAACTACAAAGAGAGAAAAATAACTACAAAAGAGGAGCCAAAAGACACAAAATGACTAAAAAAGACACAAATGACCTCAAAGTGACAATAAAAAAACCACAAGGAGACACAAAACAGCAACAAAACAGAGGCAAAACCACCACAAAGTCTGTGTGTGTTACTCCTGTGTAAGAGAATTGTTGGGGCCTTTTGTATATCTGTGTCCAGGGGTCCATTGTATCATAATCCACTCAGGGATATTTGATTTTTTCATATCGCACAGCCCTACTTCAGATGTTTGAGCTTCCCAAAATGTTTCCTTACCGTTCTTCTTTCTAATTTCAGGATGGCGTTTTGGTGGATGAGTTTGGCCTGCCACAGATTCCTGCCTCATAAACAAGAACCGGATCACAACAACTGCACTTCAACTGAAACCACTTTTATATGTAGAGTAACATTTATACATGCAAAACATTTGACCCGAGAACACTACAATTTTGAAGCTGTCCTGGTGTTGGGTTGTGTGTCGTTACCACGACTGTGCTAGCATGAGGCCTTGTAACACTACTGAACGATTTTTTAAAAACATTTTCTCCCTCATGTCCTCCCGTCTAACCTCGTCAGTCTCGTATAACAGTGTTAGTATGACCACGTTTATTTTTATTTGTCTTATTGTATTGAAGTTTTGTGTGTTGTTCAGTCATTACCATTTTGTTTGAGTTCTTAACAGTGGAGATGATTCCCACTGAGCCTGTCTACAGGTGATTTGAAACATGAAAAATAAATTGTGTTTTAACTTAACCGTGGATTCTTTGGTCAATTATTATTTGTGAAGGTTCAACCAGGAACGGATTAACTGGCACTGTGAGCCAGGGGTGAAAGTGACTTGTGGGCTGATACCACCAGAAGAAGCTTAGCTTAGCATAAAGACCGGAAACAGGTAAACACCCAGCCTGGCTGAGGTCAGGGCAGCAACTAACAAATGTTTTAATTTCAGTTATTTTCACGATAAATCTACAAATCACTTAGTCCATAAAATGTCAAACAACAATTGTGAAAAATGCTCATAAAAATTTCCCAGACCCCAAAGTTACATCTTTAGTTTGCTTCCTCTGTCCAACCAACACTCAAAAGCCCAAAGACTCTTCATTTACTTTCATAAATGACAAAGACAAGCTGCAAATTGTCACATTTAAGAAGCTGGAACCAGCAAATGTTCGACATTATTTGTTTGAAAAATTAGTGAAATGATTAATCAATCAACACAATGCCAAAATCTGACTTGAGTATCACTTCAATGTAGTTAAACACATCCTAACCACTAATAATGCAAGAGAAATCAGTAGAATTTAATGTTTTCACTTAACACTTTTTTCTATGGCTTAATACATAAAAACAACAACAAAGAGAGTCTAAATTCCATGATACAGGGTGGGTTAATCTGGCTAATGATGATTATTCATCGTAAAAAGAAACTCTTCTGTGAGGTGATACAGTTCTGAGGAGAAGAATTGGCCCCACAGATGGGTGTGAAACTCACAATATGTTTTGTTTCATTACAGTGTGCAGTTATTTATTTATTTATTCTGTCGTTGTTATGATCAGTTTTTTTGTACATATTTGGTTTGTATGTACACTTCCGCTGAAAAAGGAGAAACAAATTAATTAAAATAGAAGTTAGAAAAACTGTTTCCGGTCTGTCCCGGAAGTAGTTAGTTAGCAATTAGCAACAGCTGTAGTTAGCCGTGTGATTCATGTTGTGATTAAAGGACACCAAAAACCAAAATGTCAGAGCAAACGTTAACAGTGACAGTTGCATACGGTAATACGGGTTTTCATGTTGTTACACGTTAATTACAAGATTATAGATAGATGTATAAATGTAAGTTTTCGAACAATCGCTCGAGTAGCTTTGAAGTGATTAGCTAATGTAGCTATAGCTAGCTCTCTCCAAACATTTTACTGTAGTAGCTAGCTCCCGTGAACTTAGCACAGTTAAATGTTATGCCTTTATACACTATAATATCATTTATGAAGCATTTCCTTTGAATAGATATATAACACTTAGATTTTATTTATTTAAATGTCTTGTTTTTGTAACACTCACATTTGTATATTAATGTTAACTTATTTCACAGCTGCATTTATCAAGAATGTATGAAAGCTATTCGTAATTTGAATATGACTACAGTATATAAATAACAAATAATATCCAAAGTGTAAAACCTGCTGCTTCACTGACCACATAGACTGTAGTATTACTTCTTGAATTTATGATTATTTTGGATAGGAACTCAAATGTAAAGCAAATCATGTGTAATATCCAGATTATGCTCAGATACTTTGCAATCACATCATCAAATTATAAGTTTAGCATTTACTTACTTGTGATTTAGTTCAATTACATTCAGTTATATGTGAAATAATCAAACATCATTTTTGTCTTCAGGGGTGAAAATAATTAACAAAATGGCCATGCTTCCTTCCAAGTAATCCTCATTCTTCCAGAAAAATCATCTCCCAGTGTTTAGAAAGTAATTGCTGCTAACATTTTTAGAAGTACTGCTATATTTTTTTCTCCCATTCCAGGGTCTACGAAGCACAGCATCACATTAACCGGCCAGGATGATGGCAAGGGCCCCATTGTCAAAGACCTCTCAGAAGCTCTCACCCAAGCTACTGGAGTTCCTCAAGCCTCACAGAAACTTATCTTTAAAGGTAGACTGTGTGGGGTTCTCTTTTCTTTCACATCCAAGCAAGCTCGTATATCATATTATATAACCAGCTCTCACCTTGCTTTAACTATCCTGCCATTCCAGGTAAATCCCTAAAGGATATGGAGGAGAGTCTGTCCAGCTATGGAATAAAAGAAGGGTGCAAACTCATGCTGATTGGAAAGCGGGTAAGGCCTCTATATGTGTGATATCATTGATGTGTGACTGTGTATTTTAATAAATACTAACAATAATCTACTAACAGAACAGTCCGGAGGAAGAAGCTGAACTGAAGAAGCTGAAAGACATCGAGAAATCTGTGGAGCAGATGGCTAAAAAGCTGGAGAAAGTTGACGGGGAGTTGACTGGACTCAAGAATGTAAGCTATCAATTTTCCTGCAGTGGTGTGCTCTGATCACCACTATATCTGTATTGATTATCACCCATTTTCTACAGGGCTTCCTGGCCAAAGACCTCCAGGTAGAGGCGTTGGATAAACTAGACCACAGAGTCAAAGTAGCAGCTGAGCAGTTCATGAAGATCCTGGAGCAAATCGATGCTTTGGTGATCTTTTTTCTTTATAGTTTCTTTTCTTAGTGTCTCCATCATTGATTGCAGGCCAAAATAAATTTGCACTCTTTTTTTGTTCAGGTTTATTTATGTGTATGTTTGTGCCACATGTTACAAACCCTGAAGTGTTTCTTCTTTTAACAGAGTCTTCCAGAGAATTTCAACGACTGCAGAATGAAGAAAAAGGGACTTGTAAAGACGGTGCAGGTAAACTCTTTTTAAGTGCCATCAGAATATTTCAATAGAAAATCATTGCGACTATTGACTAATATAAGTGTAATTTTTTTCTGTCAATAGGATTTCCTGGCGCAGTGTGACAAGATCGAGGCGTGTATATCAGACCACCTAACAAAGATCCAGTCGAAAAACCTTGCCCTGGCTGAGTAGAGTTACAAATTCTCCCACATCGTGTGCTATAATTGCTCTGTGAGCAACTGCAAAGTGTACAGAAAGCATCATGTGTGGATGCAATCCTTGTCTATTTATTGTTGGGTTGATGTATGTGAGACAGTCCTTATCACGGAGAATCCTGTGAGCAGAAGGCTGGAGGCTGATGGTGCTTGGATACATTCTCTGCGTTATAGGGAAGTGCTCCTCGAGATATTGTAACTACAGTCACCCTGTGAAAGGATCAGAGGTGTTTCAAATTGTGTTGATCCCTTTTAAAGCATCCAAAGACAGTGCTGAATCGAACTGCCACAGCCACATGTCCAGTTACTCACAGTGATGTCAGAAAACTAATTTCACCACCCAGCATCTTACAAACTGTACCCTAATATAGAGAAGACACTTTTTTTTCATTGTGATGTACCCACGTCAGAGTGCTCCATGTGGCAGTTTGCACACACATGGCCAAACGTATGTGGACATTAATAGGCTTTAATCCACAATGCTAACAGCTTCCACTCTTCTGGAAATGCTTGTGAAGCATAACTGCATTGATTTGGTGTTAGTCAGCTGCCAGATCATCAGTGAGGTCAGGCAATGATGCCGGGCAACGGTGCTCCAGCACTTCCCAGCCGTGTTGGGTGAGTCTGAGGTCATGGCTTTGTGCAGGCCTGTCAAATTTATCACCAAACTGGAAAAAATGCTTCTTCAAGGACCTTGTTTTGTACACAGACATCTTAATGTTGTAATAGGAAAGGGTCCTTCATCATGGGCCGTTGTATTATGATTGGAACAAATGGGCCAACCACAAACTAGAGCTGACACCATTTGTTCACTGAAAGAAAAATAATCAAGAACTACTTTGATAATCAATTAATGATTAGTCACAAAAAATGTTCTCTAATTCCAGTTTCTCACTCGAGGACTTGCTGCTTTTCTTCATCGTATGTGATAGTAAACTGAATAATGGGCTTTTAGACATAATCAATTTGATGGCATCAGAAAAATATAAAGGGCATGTTCCACAACATTTTCCAAACAAAATTATTAATAATCTAATCAAGAAAATAACCATTAGTCCCAACCCTAGCCCACACTGTCAAAAATAGACCAGCTACATAATGCTGTCCACAAACTTTTGGCCATATGGTGTATATTTATTATTCTACACTGAGAGTCGGCACCAAGCCAGCACCATGTTTAATCCAGTGACTGATACTGTTGAATCACATATCATTGAAATTAATGAGAAGAGTGGAGTTGTTATCGCTCTAAGCCTTCACTAAGACTGACACATCACATCTATTTTCCTTTGTTTTCAAATAAAACCTTTGAAAAATGAACAGAGCATTGGTGATTCATCTCAGACTACAGTTTTAATCTTTAATTTCCTACAAAATACAAATGATTCAGCAAAACCAAACCAGCCATGATAACACACTCCTTGTTTCAATTTATTTCCAGCTTTATCCATGAGGGTCTTGTCATACATCTTTACTAGCTTATACAGAACCTTTAGTGGTGTTTTCACAGATGTGCAAATGAGCTTTGAGAGTAGGGGTTGCAGGGGGGTCCAGAGGTACGGTATGGTCCCACAAGCAGCTTGAACATATGACCTTCAGTGAGCTGTACCACAGTGAAGCTTGTCGAGAGCCGAATAACAGGATATAGCTGTTCTAACTTGAGTGAAAACACGTGATGTACAGAGCAGACTGGGTCCAGAGCAGCTTCTGTCACTAATCATCTTTGTCCTTTGCACCGTGCTTTAGTATGCGTGTGAATGCTACATAGTTGAAGTTGCCTTTCTTGTCGATGGGCGCCTCTCGAAAGAGCTCGTCCACTTCTTCATCCGTAAACCTGTCGCCCATCGTAGTGAGCAGCTCCCGCAGGTACTCCTCCTGGATGATACCTGTGGGAGAGGTCGATTCATTTATTAGTTGATTTACAGAAAATTGATTGACAGCAATTCAATAATCGATCAACCATTCAAGATATTCATCAACAAAAAATGTCAACAGTTGACTGGTTACAATTTCTTGAATGTAAGAATTGGCCAAGTTTCTGTGTTATACATCTCTGTAATTGACATAAAGCAAAGTTTTTTCTTATTTAAAGAATGGATGGATGTTTATATCAAACAATAAAATACAACAGAAATACAAATACTCCCTTCAGCATTTTCTATTTGGACATCAATTACTTAATTATTAAGTAAATTTATCAAGAAAATAAATAGCAAATGAATAAAGACATTCATTTTTCACATTTGTTTGGCATATGAAGACAAAATGATTTATTGGCTACTTAAAGAAACGGCCTATTAATAATTAAAATTATAAAGAAAAGTAGACAATTGCAGTATAATCCACGTCCATTTGTGAATTTAGGACATTAAAAAGTGACGCCATTTTTTTTTGTTGCCTTTGAAAATTCAGCATTTTAATAAAACAAAAACATCCTGACAACCCTGAGTCTGGAAACACTGAGAAATGAATGTATATGTATATGTAATGTATAGGACACTTCAGCTCACCTGTGCCCTCCTCGTCGAAGCAGGCAAAAGCGTTTCGGATCACATCCTCAGGATCTGTGCCGTTCAGCTTTTCTCCAAACATGGTCAGAAACATGGTGAAGTTGATTGGGCCTGGCGCTTCGTTCATCATCATCTCCAGGTACTCATCTGTAGGGTTCTTACCTGGGAAATGGTAAGAGTAACAAGGAGTTATGACACTCACTCTCACCCACGCTGAACATTTGTTGCCTGAGAAAACTGTTCAGTAAAACAGTATTTTTTATTTGGTAAAGGAGTAAGACATCTTTCACATCACTAAATATGTGTAAATACACTGGTAATTTTACCTAACGAGGCCAGCATGTCATGCAGGTCCTCTTTGTCAATAAAACCATCCCTGTTTTGGTCGATCATGTTGAAGGCCTCCTTGAACTCCTGAATTTGAGACTGGTCAAACATAGCAAACACATTGGAGGTGGCACGCTGAGGACGCTTCTTGGTGTTCTTTCCCTTGGCCCTTTTGCTCGACATGTTGGCAGTTGGTAGGTCACCCCCTCCTGTAATACAGAGGATGGGAACGGTGTCAGCTAGAACTTGACAGAATGATCTAAAATCTGTATCACTGTTGTTAAATTAATCTCAATAAAAATGTTGGTATGATAGGTATTTATGTTCCTTCTTATTCTGGTTTATATTTTTGCCTGGACTGATAATAGTAACATTATGATCATGGCGCCATTCTTCAGATATGGCTTAATAAATCCAGGCTATGATCATGTTAGCTAAACATTCTTGTTGTGAACACAGTTGTTAGAAAATAAAAGGCAACAAGAGTGGAGAGCAGAAAAACAAATGGACAAATTTCTAGCATCCATCCACCCATTTTCATCTGCTTATCCAGGGCCAGGTCGTGGGGGCAGCAGGCAAAGCAAAGCATCCCAGAAATCCCTCTCCCCCATGACGCTTTCCAGCATCTCCTGGGGGACCAGGGCGTTCCCAGGCCAGATGAGATATGTAATCCCTCCAGTGTGTTCTGGGTCTACCCCAGGGCCTCTTACCAGTGGGATGTGCCTGGATCACCTCTAACGGGAGGCACCATTAATTATTCAAAGAACAAGTTAGATTGTGAAATTGGTTCTAATTGAATTAAACGGAATTCATTGTTTCAACCATCTATACAACTTAAGGACTCCGCATGAAAATATCATAAGTGATACCCATATTTTCTGGCAAACATCTTAGGTTTTGTTGCAAAATTGGGTGGGACACATGAAACATTTCCTGCATTTTGGTTAATTTTTATGCACCAATTTGTGCTTTTTCTGCATTAATTTGTGGTGTTAAATCTTTAATTTTGTCCTAATAAAGACTTCTGCTACTTTCATGTTCTTAGTAAGGAGGAGGGCAAATGAATATGCTCTAAATATTGATGGTAAAATGTCCCCTGCGTCCCCTCTGTAATCTACACCTAGGTCCAATGGTTATGACAAGTAAAAATGAATTCAGGTGTAGGGGTTCACCTTGAAAATGTGTCATCATCATAAATGTCATCGTGGATGAGACAGCACTTTTGTAAGTTTGAGCATAAGGATGGGGTTTTCTTAATTTTAAACTATCTTTGAAGATTAGAAAAATCCAGTTTGTGTCAAATGTTAAGTTAACAAAGATCAGGGCAGGGCCCAGGTTAGAGATGTGGACCACATCTGAACAATTGTTAAATGGCAGTTAATATTTCTTAATTAAGTTGATTCTGGTAATTTGCATATTAATAACTGCAAAGAGGACATTTAACTTGGTCAGAGAACCAGAATCAACTCGGTAAAATGAGTTTACTGCCCAGCAACCTGTCACAAACACATGATGTCAGCGTTAGCCTGCCACACATTAGCCAACAACAACAAACAGAAACTGTTATTTATTGATGTGATAAAAGTAATTTCCTATGTTTGTATTACAACAATACATTTTTGCTTTTCAGCATATCAACTTCAGAAGTCTCAGCTAGCGTTAACTAAACATTTTATCTACTAGCTCACATTACTTAGCTAACGTTAGCCCCATGTTGACCTCAATAACTGAATGACCAGATGATCAGACTAGCTTTAGCGAGCTAAGCTGAACCAATTCAAATGAAAAACGCCAACTTTCTGTGGCCTCAACGTGCACAAGATGTCGAACACAATAATTAAATCACTCACCTCAGAAAATAAAAGCGTTATCACCAAATGGCTGTACAAACAGCTACCAGAGCATCCACAGGATGATGAACGAAGAGAGCCACCATCAATGTTTTATTTCCTCTTTCCCAAACTGACCAATCACAGCCGAGCTGGACGGAGCCAACGGATGGACTGTACCATCTTCTCTTCACATCTACGTGTTTATATATTTGTGTTTTAACATTTAAACGGACGTGCTAGCTAAATATTGATAAATGAGATACTTTAAAAAAGTGTGTGAGTATTTTTACAGCTCTCATCTTATCTTTATATTTGTCCAAACGACCTGCGCTGTAGTTTAAGTACTCCACCACTAGGCGGTAGCAGTTACCAACAAAAGTACCCAAAGCATTACCATGAGCTTGATTTTGCTGCGATTCTGCCTGAGTACCCAATTATGCCGTGTTAGAGCACTACAGAGTGACAGCATATTGGTCACAAACAAGTAAGGCAGGAAACTGAAATGGAAGTTCAGAGCAACATTTAAAGTGCTATATTGTCGCATTTTCGTGCAGCCACTAGAGTAGTCCGGTGAACACACGTCTAAACAGATGAGTCCTACAGTAGCAATTCATGTCATCCCATTCACCACTGAAATATTGCAGTTCTTCTACCAACCCCTACTAATTTATTAGACATACTAGAAACCACTTCATTTCCCCCTTAAGTGCAGCCTAGAGTGAAGGGCCAGGCCCAGCAGAGGCTCCTCAGCTCGCCTGGCCCTTCTCATGGTCTAAATTTAAAGCCGTCCCAGCCTTAAAAGGTCGTGACGGTGTCTTGTGCATTCTGCCGAGTGGCAGCATTATTTTTGTTCAGTGGACTCCCGTCCTGTCCGCTGCCCCTCACCCTGCTGCTTTGCCCGGATCTGGATTCGCTTTAGCTACTTTGGGAATTAACACACCCTTTCTCTGACTTTCAACTGTTGTGGACTGGTGAATTCCTAATTGTGGTGAGTGACTTTTTTTCCCCTCAATTGATAAGTCTAAGGAACTGTTCTCACTTGTGTCATCTGATCATCTTTTCAAATCTTCAATCATGAGGCCTTCTTTTAACCACTTTATATTTTGATTCAATGTGTTTTAACTCAGATATTGTCACTGTCCCTTATACTAACTGGGTTTTGTCCATCTATAGCTACTGTGTCCTTGTAGACTAGATTGCATGTGTCACTGAGTGTAAAAGAAGAGCTGATCTACTCCATTAACATTCGCTTAACCTCAAAACAAGAAGCTTTTATGACTCAGATCCCTTTATGCCCTCTGTGCCCTCATAGCTCATATATCCGGTTTACTGTTTGCATCTCTTTATAAATAAGGAGTCATTTAGTACATGCTGCCTGTTGTAGGTGTTGCTGAAGGACATACCCATTATAAAATACATCTTTAAGGTCTATTTTCATAAACTGCAGGTCTTATCTTTTTGATCTGTGGTTACATCATGACAGGCCTGTGCCCAGTGGGGGCTGCTCATGTTTTCAAGATGCCTTGTATCAGGGTGTCTGCAGGTCCTTAAACAGTGTTAAAATGTTCAAATGTGAATTTGTGAGGTCTTAACTACTACAAACATTTTATCTAATTTCATGTATCCATTTTTACTGTCTTTTTGTGTAAATTAGTGAAGCCTTTCTATGTATAAGTCCACATTTCTAATGTTACAAATCTTTAAAGAACAATAATACTGTAATTTTACTTCATATTTGCACTTACCTGTTGGCAAAATGTAGAATGACTTAACTTAATATTCCTATAAAACACTTACCTTTGCACAAGACCACATATATATGACTTGCCTACAATACTTACCTGCAATGCTTAGATAAGTTAAACATGATTAGTCCAAAAATCTCGCCTAAATTTGGTTTAAAGGTGTCTTGAACAGGTGTTAAAAGGCATTAAATTTAACTGTCTGATACCTGTAGACACACTGCGTATGACTTGGGCAGTGGGCTTAAAGGTGAAATGATTAGTCAACTGATAAATTGATGAATCCACAAAAGGTAATGATTATTATGATAAATTGTAGTCATGCTTTAGAGCAAAGAAATTCCGAAATTCACTCTCAGATATTTGCTTGTTTTCTGTGACAACTGAATGTCTCTGGGCTTTGGGTCAAACAAAACAGGCAGTTTGAATATGTCAACACTGGCTTTAGGAAATTGTGAAGACAAGATTTTGTTATTCATTAAATTTATTCAGTTAAGCCAAAAAAATATTCAACAGCTTAACTACCTGAGTGTAGTATCTATTACTGTTATGTCTATTACTTGTACATCTAGACTGTTGTTACATATTGATTAAAGCCTTAAATTAACATTTACCTCTGGATGTTCTCATCAGTTACACTTTAAGTTCATAGCTTTTATGATTCCACCTTTGGAGGTGATTGTCTTTTAAATTCTCAGATTATCTTTAAAAACACCAAAGACACACATAGAGTGCTGAGAAATCTATGCTGTGACAATTTATGTACTGCCTGCTGCTTTTTCATTTAACACCGTAGAAGTAGATCTCAACCCTTTAACTGCTCCCAAAAAACAAAAATCATAACGCCATCTTAACAACTTCACCATCATATTTCTAATACCTAATCACCATCCCCTGACCTAAACTAACCCCAAATTTAGAAATCAATCTGAAATGATAACATTGAGATTGATTTTCAGAGCTGGTTAAAGTAAAGAACAGTCAACATTTAAGTTGGCGGAGTGGCCCTCGGGATGTCAGGATCAGTACAAGTGACGCAGAAGCTGCAGCGTCTGCACCAGCAGCAGGAGCAGCAGCAGCAGCATCAGCAGCATCACTATGAGAGCCGCTCTTACCTGAGCACCAAGTCGTCTGTTAGCAAGAAGTCATTCGCGGCTTACAAGACCACCAGCCGTCGGTAAGAGGGTGAGAGTGACCCAGAGGAAAGGTCCAAAATACTTACGAGATGGTTGATATTTGAAAAACTGTTAAAAATAACAGCGGGGTCCTCTTAATGTGACCTGCCACTTCCGTAAGCTCGGAAATGGGGAATGCATTCAAGCAGACCTCTTTCAAATATTCAACACTGTACTTTGGGCCTGGTGTGAAGTGTGTTCGGCAGCAGGAGCAAAAAAACATGCAGCTTAAAGTGTGTTTTTATGTAGAGTAAGTGCTGTCTCTCTGATGTTCATCTTTTATGATATCAGGGGAGCACATATTGTTCTCTTTAAAGGCTGTTGTAGGACAGCATTTTTTATTCCTTTGGGTCAAGTCAAGTCACAAGCCCTTATATGCAAAATAGAAATCAAGACATTAGTCTCTCAGGTCTCTGAATACTGACCACCAAAGTGATTGCTCATGGTGGGAATGATTGGGTCTCTGTAAATTAGAGAGTATAGACCAGACCTGCTCTGTATGAAAAATGCCCTGAGATAACTTTTGTTATATGAATAAAACTGACTTGACTTGACCGATACCAGTAAAATTTTTCTTTCAAAACTCCTTTACTTGTGTTTTACAAAGCTTAAAGCAAGTAATTTCAATGCAAATGCCTAAGAATTGAATATGCAGTTACACAGTTATACAATTTTACTGTTCCAGGATTTTACCAGGTCAAAATTTGATGTTGCTCTCAAAACTTGTGTCAATTCAGGTTTTCAGGGAATCTAGTTTTACGTAAGTCTAATCTCAAAGTGGTGAATTTAAAGTTGCTTAAGTTGGAGTCTCGTCCAAGTCTCAAGTCTCAAGTCTACAATTTAGCACTGTTTGTGTCTATTAAATCTAAGTAGCAATTGTAAGATGCTCATGTATTTAATGTAAAGAGCATCATTATGTTTATTTACTTTAATTTACATCATTTACAAGTAGTCTGAGGCTAAGTGCCATCTCTGTGTGAAATCTCTGGATGAAATGAACTTAAGTATCTCAGGCTTTTGGATTGTTGACTGGACAAAATAAGCAAGTTGAAGACATCAGCTTGCAAATTGCACTGTGTATTTTTCACTCCTTTATGATATTTTAGAGACCAAAAAGTAGATTGGTCAACCGAGAATATAATCAGCAGATGAATCAATGATAAAATAATTGTTATACAGAGATATATTTCCTCACTCTTTTCAGCCTTAAAGCTAGTTAGTAACTTTAATGGAAATAACTTTGTGTCATATTTGCAATGGTCACTATATTCTGGAAATTGTACATGAGACAGATAATCTGTGGAAAATGTCATGTCGCTTCTCCCCTTCCTACTGCTTCTAATGACATCTGCTAGCATCTATCGTGGTGCATCGAAAACAGCCAATCATAGTCAAGGAGTCTCTAACACAGCTGTCAATCATGTCAACTACTGTACAGCTCGTGAACTGCGGTCAAACTGTTAAACTAGGCAGCGCTGATCAAACATGACTTAAGGTTCTATTACTGCATTGCTTGTTTCTAACCTCCAGTGTTTTCAGAAACATACTTAAGTGTACTGTTTAGCTGTTAAATGAGAAAGTTGGTGACTTGGCCACCATGTTGGAAATAGTCAAGCAGAAAACTCAGCACCGCCCACCAGCTGGACAAACGTTCTTATTTTACAGCTAAACAGTACACTAAAGGAGCGCCCATTAGCTCATGAGGTAAAGCAGGCACCCCGTGTGCAAAGGCTCTGTTCTTGCCGCAGCTGCCACAGGCTCGTTTCCAGCCCCTTGCTGCATGTTGTCCACCCTCTTCTTCCTACCTTCATGCAAACTGTACTGCCAAATAAAGGCAAAGAAGCCCTGAAAAATATATTTTTTAAAAACAGTACACTAAAATATGTTTCTGAAAACAGGCGAGAAATGCAATAACAGAATCTTGATTCATATTTGGTCAGCGCAGCCTAGTTTGACTGCAGTTCATGAGCAGTAATGACATGATTAGTAGCTGTGTTACAGACTCCTCAACTCTGATTTGTTTTGTTCCCATGCGGTCATGCCATTAGAAGCATTACAAGGCAATAGAGTGGGCAATGGAATATGATTTTTTTCCCCCACAGATTATCTGTCTCATTTAGGCCTAGTGCTGTGTGAATATAGTGACAGTTTCAGCAAATATAACAATAATATTTTTGATAAAAGTTACCAACTACAGCAGCAATAAATGTGCAAAATC